AACAGAGCCCGACAGAGGAGGGAGGGGCGGGGAGGCTGTTGCAGTGCAGCGCTGCTGTCCTGCGTCTGACCTCAAAGTGCACAAGCAACCAACTTCAGCGTTGGCTGCGATTTTGAAGCTGAAATCGCGTTCGGTGTGAACGCGGCATTATCCAGGTTTTTGCTGCTTTTAGCTATTTGCTAGCCTTGTTATTTTTAGCTAACCCTTTGGTTGAAGTTCTTAACTATTTAGAATTTTAACTTGAGTTTTATTTTTTTTCAAGTATTCAATAAGCCTTTTGTTTTGTTTAGCTAGCTTTTTTTTTTTACTACATTAAACGTCTAGCTGGCTTTTTCTTACTTTTGGCTTTAAACTAGTATTTAGCTCATTTTAGTATTTAGGTACTGTTTTGCCCCATTAGTTTTTAGCTAAGCTTCTTTTAGCTTTAACAATGTGGTTTAAGCTTCTTTAGTAAATTTCAACAGTCATTCAGCACCCAGCATCCACACTGCATTTCTTTGCAGAAAATGTTACTTTTGTAGCTGGAAAGTGACTCTGTTTTACCTGTCATTCATAAAGACACCATTTCTGTGGATCTGGTTCTCCAGTGTGAAATTGAAGGTGAAGTCTTCGATGCGCTCATTGTTGTGAATCTTCACTCTAGAGGCATATTCATCAGCCTGAAGGTGCTTGATGACATCTGGGAACCACACCGACAGTCCGTAATACCTAAAATAAATAAATAAATAAATAAATAAATAAATAAATAAATAAACAAACACTTTCTGTTGTAAAATGTTTCATTTGAACAGAAATGCTTTTCCAGCTTGCTCTTTTATGAATTTAAAGACACCAAATTGAATAGCGAATTCAAACAGAATTGCATTCTTCACCATTTTGCTGCTGTACAGTGCTCTTTGCTCTTTCATGTCTGGAAATATAGGATTTTCAGATTTTTTTTCATTCTGGTAAAAAGAGGATGCATGAAGAAACATTAAGATCATTTTGCTTTTTAAGGAGTAAGTAGGAAGGGTGATATTTATTTTCCTCACTTTGTTGCACTTTTTCGCTCTCATAAATTTTGGTGCACCAGGAGCCTCATGTATAAATGGTGCGTACGCATAGAAAAGTTGTGTGCGCCAGGTTATATGTCCACGTTGGAATGTATTAAAACCAACGTTGTGTGAAAGTGTGCGTAAATATACACACACTTTTCACCTGCTGTGAGAATTTGCGGCAGACACGCAAAGTTTTTCAGTCGACAGTTTTAACTCACAAAGTCATGAATCTGACCTGAATCCACAGAAATATGACTCTGTTGTGTTTTCTGGATGTAAGGAGCGTCTGAACACGGTGTTAGGTTTTTATTTTAGTTTGAGTTTTTATTGTTTAAACTCGAACGATCATGAAACTGAACCCCGGGACTGAAAATCATTTAACCTCAGACAAGAAAATAGATCAGTCTAAAACTGATCAAAGAACCTCAGTCCAGTCTGTGAACTGTAAACTGTTTATATTTCCGTCACATAGTTGGAAACATGCAGAGCGCAGGCCTGCGGAGCGCACACACAGCTGAGGAGAATAAAATGTGTGAATTATCTAAGAAACATTTTAATTCTAAATGAGAAAAAATTTTGTCAACTCAGCAGATTAATTCACAGCTCAGCTGTGATGATTCCTCAGCTCCACAAGATGCAATAGATTGCTGCGTAAAGTTGTGTGTTTGGATCAATGTCAGCTGTTCCCAGTCCCACACCGCGGCAGAAACTCGCAACGCTGCGAGTCACTTTCTTCACATCAACTATTTAATAAATGTTTTTCTAAGTTCTACCAAACTCATCAGTTCCTCTGTGTTTACAGTCATTTATTAAAGATGTGTAAAGGTAGAAATGTCTGTCAGCCTCATGTGCTGCTGAAAATAACAGCACATGCGTGCACACACAACACACGCACACACCTTTGCGTGTGACAAACACATTTTTACACTACACTACTTATTTAGACAGTTTTCTCACTCATTCTCCATTTAATATATAATTTTCCTGCATCTAAAAATCATTTCTGATCCCACAGAGAGGACAATCTGAGGAGAATCTCACACGCTGGACACATTTATATCTATTTTACAGATTTAAATGGAGGCGTGTCAGGGGAGGAGTCTCAGGTGTCTCAGTTCCACGTTCATTGGGATGTATAAAGGAAAGGTGCACAGGAACCTGCATGCACAGTTTTATACATCTGAATTTTTTGGTGCGGTGCACTTCTCTAAAATTGTCCGTACGCCAACCTTTAATGTGAAAGCTGTGCAATCCTTTATGCATGAGGCACCCGGAGCCTATTGCATGAATCTAGCATAATGGATGAACCAGGAGTTTGGTGTAAACCTGAATTAATTAAGCCTTGAATAAGTTGCATGGGAGAGGAAGCACTTATGTTTCTGTGGTAACAAGTGCTCTGAAACTAACCCTGGGGTGGGATTTATAAAACTTGCGTACGCACAAATCGAGCCCAGAAACCTGCGTACGCCACTTTTCATGTGAAGGTTGTGATTTATAAAATCCAAACTTGACATGAAAATGTGCGGTGCCTCACTCCAGCTCTGACCCATGTGTACGCTCATTTTGGAGACGTGAAACTGCGACACAGATGGTGAAGAGAGGAATTAGAGCCACACTGTGTAATGATCACTGCCAGATATTTAATTTACCTTCAGAATCAAACTTAGATTTTTATTCAACTTATCATCAGCTTTATTAACAGTAATATTTATGCTTCTGCTGCTGCTGAGCCAGAAGGAGCTTTGAAATAAAAGAAAACTGAAATCTTAAATAAAAGTTCACACATCTCCATCCATCTCCTTCCTCCTCAGACGAACCTGACCCACAGACCCCTCCCTGAAAAGGCACAATTCAACAGCACAACAGCAAAAAGTCACGCTTTGGGTACTCGCAGGGTGCCCCTTGTCAGTGTGGATGTTATAAAAAGTTCACGTTTTAAAAACCGTATTTGTCACGCGCATGGCTGTGGGGATGTGTGTGCGTGTGTGTGTGTCTACCGTGGATAACAGAACAGGTGGGAGGGGGGGTGGAGGAGTGGTGAACTTATCTGAAGACAGAGGTCTATCAGGTCTTAAAACTCCAAGACCACATGGGCAGCTGAGGTATCTGTGAGCCAAACAAGCTGCAGTCCTACCTGTTGCTGAGGAAAAGGCTCTGTTGCAGAACTTGTTTGGTAAGGCCTTGGCTAGAGACTGTAAACATGCTCAAAGGTAGTTCTGGCAAACTCTTAAGAAAACTGAGGAATGGAGAGCAGCACTTTACTAACACCATGGGAAGTGAAAGTGGGGTGCTGTTGACTTCAACCAATAAAGTCATTGGGCAGTGTAAGGCAGGGATTCTCAGTCCTGGTCTTCAAGAACCCCTATCATATCCCTATGCTTGTTTTCCTGCTCTTCAGTAAGTCTTTATTATTCCATTTTTTTATTTGACCTTTATTCATACAGGTAGTCTCATTAAGATCCAGAATCTCATTTCCAAGAGAGACCTGTTATAAAACAAAAATTACAAACACACAAGTGGTTACACAAAAACAAGCAATAAAAAATGGACTCAAATGAATAAGCTAATAAAACATGAGCTAAAAACAAGAGTTTCATAAGAAGATTTCTCTTTTTGTCTTAGAAGAAATTTGAATTGTCCCAAGGGAATCAAAGTACGTAATTTCAGATCCTGCTGTAGAGCATTCCATGTTGACAGAGCAGATTAAGAGAATGCCTTTTTCCAAGTTCTGACCGTGTTAATGGAACATTGAAGGAGAGCAAGTCCTGAGAGCGTAGCCTGTGACCGGACTGTCTAAGTGAAAGATATGAGGACACGTAAGGCGGGAACAATCCCATAATATTTTTACAGATAAAAATGTACCAATGCCTATGAATTCTTAATGATGGCCAGCATACCTGAGAATATACAGTAAAGTGCAGTGTTGAGAGAAATATTTACAGTATACCCTGTTAACCTTAATGCATCATATAGACAGCATCCAACATGTGTAGGCAGGTGACAGGTGTATTCATATAAACAATGTCACAGTGGTCCAACAGGGGCAGAAAGGTCATTAAAACAAGATGCTTCCTAGCACTGAAAGAAAAACATGATCTATTTCTAAAGAAAAAGCCTGGTTTTATCTTTAACTTATTAAAAACATTTTCAATATGCAAATTAAATGAAAGTTTTATATATTTTATTGGCATACCGGTCAATGTTGTAATGTGGGGCAGAATTTGTGGAACTTTCTTCTTATTGACAAACAGCATGACCTTTGTCTTTACAGCATTTAGGACTAGTTTGAGCTGAAGCAAGTCCATTTTAATAATGTCAAATGCAGGTTGAAGACGTCCGAGCATAGCAGTTACAGATTTAGCATTGGAATAAACTACAGTGTCATCAGCATAAAAACGTGCACATGCATCAGTAATTTTATCCCCGACACTGTTTACATAAATTGAAAACAGAGTAGGACCCAAAACTGAACCCTGTGGTACACCTTTTGTGATATTTAAATAATCAGATGACAAACCACTGTGTTGCATTGTACATTGGCTACGATTTAACAGATAATTAGAAAACCAACTTACAGCATTATCTCATAAACCAATATCTGACAGCTTTTGACAAAGAATAGTATGGTCAACTGTATCAAATGCCTTAGACAGGTCAGTAAAAAGAGCAGTACAACAGTGATTAGCATCCAAAGCTTCAATGGTGTCCTTTACAGCCTTTATGGTGGCTGTAACTGTACTGTGCTGTTTCCTAAAACCAGACTGATGCAATGACAGGATAGCTGCCTGCAAATAATCTTTAAGTTGAATATTAACTAGTTTTTCAAAAACCTTGGATAAAATACAAAGTTTTGAAATGGGATGATAATTTTTAACACCAGGATCACCACCTTTTAATAGGGGATGAACAAAAGCAGCCTTCCACATGTCTGGAATGATATTAGTTTGTAAAGAGAGATTAAAAATATGAGAGACTGGTTCAGCCATAAAGTCTGTTGCTAAGCGCAAAAAGTAAGTGGAAAGATTGTCAGGTCCTGCAGATTTTCGAGGATCTAGACTCTTTAGTGCCTTATGAACTTCACTGACGGACATGTATGAAAAGTAAAAAGTGGTTTTGTTTGAGGATTGGTTCACAGAGGAAATTAAAGGTTGAGCAGCAATGACAGCATCAAAAAAGATCCAGAGGCAACAAAGAGTCCATTTAAACAATTTAGCATCTCTGGTTTATTTGATACCACAGAGAAATTTATAGTCAATGACTGGGGAAAATCTGAGCAATGATTGTTTGCCAAAATTTCCTTAAGTAATTAAAAAATTTTGTAGTCTCAGACAAATGATAATTCTGTTTTGCCTTTTTTATGGCAGCAGTACATTTGCTTTGCAATTGACGGAAATGTCGACTTCAGAACCAGATTTCCTAGCAGTTGCCCAAAGTTGATTTCTCCTGTGCAAAAGAGATGCCAATTCAGAGGTGAACCAGGGACTCGCTCGACCTTTAACTCTGAGCTGATGTAATGGAGCATGTTTATCAATAAAGTAATAAAAAGTGTCATAAAAATAGTCCAAGGCAAGATTAACAATATCAAACAAAGAAATATGCCCCAGTTAAAATGGAATAAATTCCTAAAGAAGGCTTGTTCGTTAAAATGCGTCATAGTTCATTTTTTTGGATAAGAATAGGTTTAAAACGAGGGATTTTTATATCTCTAACTGCACCAAAAACACAATGATCACTCGTATCATTCACAAAGACTGCAGTTGTGGGGTATTTATGTGGCATATTGCTGATTAAAAGATCAAGAATTGATGATTTATCTGGATATTTAAAATTAGGGTGAGTAGGACTTCCAATAATTTGAGAAAAATTAAAAGCTAGACAGTGATTTTTAAAATCCTCTGATGCTAATGTGAGCCAGTCCCAATTAAAATCACCTACTAAGATGATTTCTTGAAAATTTAAGTCAGACAGACATTGGGCTAATGATGTAAGAGAATCAGTAGTGGCAGAAGGAGGTCTGTAACTGACAACAATGGTCAACAACTGTCCCCCAGACATGACAACTCTTAAAGCAAGAAGTTCAAACTTCCTAGGAACAGATTTAGAAAAGATCAGGGGTCAGATTTGTAAAGGATTGCTTGGAAATCATACTAAAAGTGAACATACGACCAAAAGGTGAAAATGGCATACGCAAAAAAAATAAATAAATTCAGATTTTTAAAACCATGCGTACGCACGTTTTCGTGCACCTCAGAGTGTGTGCACAATGTCCCGCCTCAGGTTCTACCCTCTACACGCCCACATTCAACCATAAACAGTCAATTAAAAGTACCTCATGAATGTTAAGGTGTATTTAAATCAGTCAGCTGATCAATGTCAAAACAAACGATTGGCCGGTTCAGGCACATGCTCTGTCGTGCGTCTGGAGGATGACAGGAGCTGGCAACTTCTCACGTGAACAGATTGGCTGTAATTGACACAGCTTTTCCCTCATTTTGCAGGTTTACAGATGTTTAGAGTAATCTAATGATTTTTTTCAAAAACTCAGCTTCAAATTCATTTTCTCTCAGAGGGTGATTAAAAACAATAAATAAAATTAAATCAGTCAGATAAATTTAAGTTCACCGCTCTTCTCCCCTGTCACTCCCCCTCCTGCCTGTTATCTGCAGCTGACAGTCTCCTCACGCCCACACCCCACTCCACGCGTGTGAGAAATATGGACATTCGCAAAAGTGAATATTTTATAACACATCCACACTGACAAGGGCGCACGCACCCAATGTGTGGCTATAACCGAGCTTTTTGCTGTCGTGCTCCGCTGAAATGTTTCTTGTCGGGGACGGGTCTGTGAGTCAGGGTCATGAGAAGATGAATGGAGATGTGTTAAGATTTAAGTTTTTTGTTTCAAAGATCTTATGGCTTAGCAGCAGAAGCATGCGTAAATTATTATGTTAAGAAAGCTAAAGTATATCTAAAATCGAAGTCTTATTATGAAGTGAAATTAAATATCTGACAGTGATCATTACACAGTGTGGTTCTGTGTCACAGTTTCAAGTCTCCAAAATGAGCGTACGCATGGGTCAGAGCTGACATGAGGGACCGCACATTTTCACGTCAAGTTTGGATTTTATAAGTCACAAACTTGGCGTGAAAAGTGGTATATGAAAGTTTCTGGGCTCCTTTTTTTGCATACGCAAGCTTTATAAATACGACCCCAGAACTGTAAGACAGAATCTAAAAGATAAAACAACACCAGCTCCTTTTCTTGGGCAGCCTGTTCAATAGATGTTAAACACATTGATGGATAAGTCTTTATCAAGCACAGATTTTGACAGCCAAGTCTCAGAATCAGCAATTACAGGTGCTGGTCATAAAATTAGAATATCATGAAAAAGTAGATTTATTTCAGTAATTCCATTTAAAAAGTGAAACTTGTATATTATATTCATACATTACATACAAACTCATA